ATACATTATTCTGCTGTAAAAATAAAGGTTAATGCACATCTTAGATAAAATACAATAAAGGATGAGACTTTGCCAGCTTGTCCTGGAAGAAAAACATTTAATGATTGTTACAAACACAGCCTGAAAATCGATGTTTTCCAATTCCTATCCTAACACCACTAAAGATAAAAATGCATGAATGAGGTTTTCCAGATTCAAATTTTCCAAATGAAACAACACAAGCACTAACAAGCATATGTGAAAGGGACATAATAGCATAAAAGAGTCAAAAATAAAATGTTTAAGCTCCTTGAAAAAAAGAAAAGGCAGTCTGGGGGCAGGGTTGTGTTTTAACATGGAGTTAAAATTTTTCTTTTTAAAGAATGAAAAAAAGCATTCAGACAGATATGTTCAGATTTATACTAAACTGTACATGCTGAAACAAATGAGTGGAAATAAATAATGTTGGGTGTTTAACTATTCTCTATTCTCCTATGTCACTGATAATTAGGTAATGTGAGCAAGCATTAAAAGATCAGACGTTCTCTTCACACATGTAAGATTGTATTATCGATAACTTTATTGTATTAAAAAAGACATTCTGTATTTTGTAGGTTTGTAATCAACAAATAGCCCTATCATGTATAGACTGACATATTAAACAACAATGCATCTTTCCCTGAAAATAACTTTTCTCTTTAAAAAAAAAAAGATGCTGCATTAAATTAACATTTGGAACGGGAAAGTCAAAACTCTTCTAGACTTGCTTTCAACTTTGAAAATCAGAATCAGAATCAGAAATACTTTAATAATCCCAGAGGGAAATTACTTTTGTTATATATATATAATAAGATAAAAAATAAGAATAAAAAGAGATAAAATATATATACACATATAGCTCTTCTGTACATATATCTGTATGTATATCTATGTATATGTAAAAACTAAATCCAAATAAAGTGAAAAGTCCAATTAAAGTGAATAAATCCAAGTAAAGTGATATTTGGCGTAAAGCTTCTAAAGCTTCTAAAGCTT